CCCAAATGAAAGAACAAATCAGAACTACAGAAAAAAAGTTACATGGAGATAAGCAATCTACCACATGTACAATTCAAAACACTGGTTATTAAGGATGCTCAAGGAACTGAGTGAGGACCCCAGCAGCATAAAACAGATCCAGTCAGAAATGAAGAATACAGTACTTGAAATAAAGAATAATTTACAGGGAAACAACAGTAGAGTAGATGAAGCTGAGAATCAAATCAATGATTTGGAACATGAGGAAGCAAAAAGCAACCAATCAGAACAAGAAAAAAGAAATTTAAAAAATGAAGATAGTGTAAGCAGTCTCTGGGACAACTTCAAGAGATCTAACATTTGTATCAGTGGGGTGCCAGAAGGAGGAGAGAAAGAGCAAGAAATTGGAAAGAGCAAGAAATTGGAAATAATGAAAGAACACTTCTCTAATTTGGTGAAGGAAATACATACGCAAGTCCAGAAAGCACAGTTAGTCCCAAACAAGATGGGTGCAAAGAGGGCCACACCAGAACACATCATAATTAAAATGCCAAAGGTAAAAAAAAAGATAAAGAGAGAATCTTAAAGGTAGTCAGAGAAGAGAAGTTAGTTACCTACAGAAGAGTTCCTATAAGACTGTCAGCTGAGTTCTCAAAAGAAAGTTTGCAGCCTAGAAGGGATTGCCAAGACATATTCAAAATCATGAATAGCAGAGACCTACAGCCAACATTGCTCTACCCAGCAAAGCTATCATTTAGAATTGAAAGGGCAGATAGCTTCCCAGACAAGAAAAAACTAAGGGAGTTCAACATCACCAAACCATTATTAAATGAAGTGTTAAAGGGACTTATTTAAGAAGATCAAAACTATGAACAATAAAATGGCAAAAATACTTATCTATTGACCATTGAATCAAAAAAACAAACGAAGCAAACAAGAACAGAGACAGAATCATGGATATGGAGAGCATTCTGATGGTTGCCAGCGGGAAGGGGCGTGTGTGGGAATGGGTGAAGAGGTGAGGGGATTAAGAAGTAGAAACTGGTAGTTATAGAATGTAAAGTACCATATAGGAAATAGAGTAGCCACAGAACTTATATGCCTGCCCCACGGACATGAACAAAGGTGGGGGGATTACCTGAACACTGGGGGGTGCTGGGTGGATGGGTGGACAGGGGGAAAAATCAGGACAACTGTAATAGCATAATCAATAATATATAATTAAAAAAATAAATAAGTACTGCTTATTTATAAGTACTGCTGCCCCAACTTTTTTTTCTTTCCAATTTGCATAAAATATCTTTCCCATCCCCTTACTTTTAACTTGTGTGTATCTTTCATCCTGAGATTGGTCTTTTGGGGGCAGTATATGTATGGGTCTTGTGTTCTTATCCATTCAGTCACCCTATGTCTTTTGGTTGGAGCATTTACGGCATTTACATTTAAGGTGATTATTGATAGATACATACATAGTGCTATTTTATTGTTAGACTGTTTTCCTCTGCTTTTTTTCCTTCTTCTTAAAGCAAGACCTTTAGCATTTGTTGCAGTACTGGTTTGGTGTTAACAAACTCCCTTCACTTTTTCTCGTCTGGGAAGCTCCTTATTTCTCCTTCGATTTTAAATGATAGCCTTGCTGGGTAAAGTAGTCTTGGTAGTAGGTCTTGGCTTTCCATCACCTTGAATATTTCAAGACATGACACTCCCTTCTGGCCTGAAATGTTTCTGTTGAGTAATCAGATATCAACCTAATTGGTGCTCCCTTGTAGGTAACTACCTGTTTTATCTTGCAGCTTTTAGGATTCTCTCCTTGTCTTTAAGCCTTGTCATTTTAATTCTGATGTGTCTTGGTGTAGGCCTCTTTTGGACCAACTTGTTTAGGACCCTTGAGCTTCCTGGACTTGAGTGACTTTCCTTCACCGTATTAGGGAAGTTTTTGGTCATTATTTCTTCAATTAGCTTCTCAATCCCTTGCTCACTCTCTTCTCTTATTCCCATGAGGTGGATATTGTTATATTCCACATTGTCCAAAATATTTCTTAAGCTCTTCTCATTTAAAATTTTTTCTTTCTTTTTGCTGCTCTGCCTGGGTGTTTTTTTTCTGTCTTCTGAAACACTGATTCAGTCATCTGCTTCATCTAACCTACTGTTTATTCCATCCAGTGTATTATTTATTTCAGATGTTGCATTCTCTTATTTCTTTTTTATGGTTTCTATGTCTTTTTTCATGCTGTTGAGTATCTTTATAATCATTGCTCTAAACTATATCTGATAAATTGTTTGCATCCATTTCATCTAGTTCTTCTGGAGAATTCTCTTGTTTCATTTGGGGTCTGTTTCTTTGTCTTCCGATTTTGGTTGCTTCTATTTTCCACCTTAGTTGTTAAACTAATCAAGCTCTGATCAGCATTTCAGCTTCAGCGCCACAGGGTGGGGCAGAGTAATTCCTGTGGGTGGGGCTATTGCTTCCCCTCAGGCTGATGCCATTTGGAGAGGAGTGCTCTGACTGAGAAAGATGGCTTCTGCAGCATGAGAAATGATTCAGTACAGGGATCCTGGTATCTGTTCCTTCAGTTCTCTCCCCAGAGCCACCAACCCCAAACTCTCCTCAAGTGTCTCTAGTATATTCTTCCTTCCCTCTGCCAGAGTCCAGGGTAAGTGGCTGCAAATGAAATTTTGTGCATTGGTCCTTTAAGAGGCTCTCTGTATCTCCAGCCATTTCTCCCTGGCAGACAGAAACCCTGCTGCTTTTCACAGCCGGATGCGATCTGGGTTCCTTTCTGGCTCTGGTGCTATCAGCTGGGGAGTCCAACTTGGGGCTTAGACCCTATGCTTCTCAGGGGGAACCCCATATCCACTGAAATATCCCCCTGGAACTTCAGCTGCTGTCCATGCAAGCCCAGCCAACCCTCTCGCACCTCCTCCACACTGCCTACCAGTTCTGTGGTGGTAAAGTGGTTTCTTCTGTCTTTTCTTGGTTATAAGGCCTCTCCACCTAGTGTTCAGTTGGTTATCCTGGATAATTTCTCCACAATTTAGTTGTAATTCCATATTGGTCCTGGGAGGAGGTTAATGTAGCTTCCACTTAGTCCTCTGCCATCTTGGATCCCCAAACTCTTTTCTTAGGTATTGTTACATATATTGGGTGCGTAGGACTGGCTTGAACGTTATGACTTAATGTGAGTCACACAAATGCATATGTACCTGATATATGTAACAATATTTAAGAAAAGAGTTTGTTTGTATCTCAGATCAGTCATGACCTCTGCTAGGTTAGATATATTCCTAGGTAGTTGGGATCCAAGATGGCAGCAGAGTAGGTGTAAGTAACACGTACCTCCTCCCAGGATCAAACTGGAATTACAACTAAAATACAGAACCATCGACCTGAATAACCAATCAAAGACCAGCTGAACAGAAGTCTTATAACCAAGGATTTACAGAGGAGGTCACATTGAAACTGGAAGGAAGGGCAGAGGTATGAAAAGGGCTAGCCCTGTTCCTATTGGCAGTGGCTGAGATTCTGCAGGGATACCTCAGCTGCAAAGGTTCCCCCTGAGGAGCAAGGGGTTTCAACCCCATGCTGGGTCCCCAGGCCAAGAGCACCAAAGCTATAAAGAAGAACCCACATAGTATCTGTCTATGGAAATCAGTGAGGATTCTGTCCACCAGGGAGAGACAAGAGTCTGCAAGAGATCCAGATGCCCTCTTCAAGGGTCAACACACAAAATCTTGTTTGTAGCCACTCACCCTTGGCTCTGAGAAAGAGGGGAGAGAGCAGACTAGAGTCTCGTGACAGCAGAATGGGGTTTGTGGCTCTAGGAAGAGGATAAAGCTAAAGGTACAACTTCCAGAGTCCCTCTGCTGAGCCCCTCTCCCAAACTGTAGATCCTATTGTTCTTGGGTGGAGTGTTCCTGTCCATATGGCAGCAGCCTGGGGGAAGGCAACAGCCCCACCCTCTAGACTCCCTGTTGCCACAAAATGCAGAGCTTGAGCCCTGCAGAGGAGTCAGCTGCCTGGATCCAGAGTTTAGAGGTCTGGCAGACTCAGTGGGTATCAATAACTGAGTTCTGTGGCTCTGGGGTGGGAGCTATTCACCCCCATCTTCCCCTGAGCCTGACTGACACCTCCCCCAGCACATTCCCCTCACTATGATCCACTAGCCCCACCCTGTGGACTCTTGGTAGTTCTACCCTCCTGACTTCTAGCAGCCTGCCTACCAGAGCTCAGGAACTCTAGGAGGTCCAGCAGATACCAGGACAGACAAGAGTATGTGTGGCTCTGGGGCCAAGGTCAACCCTTCCACCTTCATGTGAGCCTGACTGGTGCCTACTCATCACAGAAGATGCACTAGGCCCCACCCTTTGGACTCCCTTGCAGCACCTCTCTGACAAACTTGGGCTCTCCAGGAGGTCCATGCAGAATCTGGGAGAGACTGAGTTGTGTGGCCATATTTCATTTGCATACCCACCTGGAGGAGAGTCCTTCCTTCACATGCCCAAATCTTGGTTTCAAAGAGAATATCTTAGGACAGATAACTAGAACTGTAAGGAAAACCTTTGGTCTAACTAGAAGAGAAATCCTACTCATGGTTCCCGAGGTAAGGCCAAATAAGAAAATGTGGCCAATTATGAGAAATTAGAATAAAAGTGTTAGGACTTAAAACAATGGTATAGCTTTGACTTTGGGATGGAAAAGTCGGTGGAGCCTCGAAGAATTTTGTATTCAAAAGCAACTAAGTATTTGCTGAAATTATTTTTCAATATCTGAGCAAGAAGGGAACAGATTCAAGGTTTAAATCTATATATATAAAATAAATTCTGCAATTTTTAGAAGGAGATTTGTTATCTCCCACTCCAGAACTCATCCTATACAGTGTGTTATAAGATACACTACTCTTGACTGTGAAATAATGGATCTTTAGAAAAATTTAGTGAGTTTCTGAATATTAAAAACAGAAGTATAAATTAAATAAGTCATCATTAACAGCTGCTTAACAGTGACAAAATATACTTTTATTTACTTTGTTGAGTCAGAGGGTCATAAAAAAAATTATTGCTAAAGTAGATATCAGACAAACAGAAAGGTGCTTTAGAAGTCCAGTTACCTTGGAGTTTATTTAAACTAATAGGAAAGGTCATAATGTTTTCATGCAATACATACTTGGTTCTTTAAATAACAATTGTGACAAATAACAGAAAGAATTAAGGAATGTTGCACTTGTGATTTATACAAAACACCAACATTTTGGGTTGTACATAATTTAAAGAAATGTTCCAAACACTTTTTGAAATACTGTTGTAGTCAATACATAGAGGCATGCCTTAGGTGGGCACAGGAATGCAGTTTAGAAAAGGAAAAAAAAAAAATCATACTGGAACTACTCAATTTCTTCAAAATCACTGAGCAAGAAGAAAAACAACATTGAACCGCCATATTGATTTTACACAACTTCTATACAGTACCTTGACTTAAATCCAAGAGCAAAAGTTAAGACTCTCCTCCATTTTTTGGTAAACAACTGCATGGTAAACTTAGATGACTTTTCCCCCTGGATTTTACCTGGGAGTGGCCTTTAAAATTTTTTTATTTAAAAGAGGGCAGGTTTGGCACTTTTATACTGATGTCACCAATGTTAATATTTCTTGGGATCTCAGGAAGATTCATATTCTTTACAGCTGATACAGCACGGGCTGGAGCTCCCGCTAAGCCAGCCTGTATACAGAAGCAAATAAAAGAAAAAGAAAATGTACAACTCAGGTGTAGCTCATCAAAAAACACTAAAAATGGAGGACAATAATAAAAACCTTTTATATAACAAGCTTAGAGACCACATGGTAAGTTTGAATTGACATGGGATGATTACTTTGAAATACTAATCTATAAAGAGAAAACAACTGACATTAAAAAATACAGTAAACACATGCAATGATAACAATGTAAAGATTTAAATACAAATTAAACTGTACTATTTAGATAGTACACACAATACTCAAATTAAAAAGCTAGATCTTCATCTATATCTTGATATAACTGACATGTAAGCATGAAGCATATTTTACATTATTTTACATTATTAGACATCTCTTACAATAATCATAATATATTTTGGGGTTTTTTTTTTGCTTTAAAATGGCATTTATTATCAATATATACTGTGAAATAAAAACAAAGTAATAGATCATGCTTGTTCAGTTTCTTAGGGTGAATGCCTTAAAACATTTAAAAACAATATTTTTAATTTTTTTAAATTGTGAAGGTTATTCTAAACTTTAAAGAAAGTTCTAGAATATTAAAAAAAAATCAGGCTTTTAAAGCCTCAATCCAAAGAGAACAGTTCTACCTAAAAATGAAACTGCAACAAGAGGATCATTCCAATCTTTGATACATTAGTAAAGACATAACGATTGAAAAGAATCTATCATATCAAGTAAGTTCAACAACATATGTTTAGTTTATAACACAAATTTAAAAAACAGCACAAATGCAAAAGATAGTGTGTATATATATATAAATATAAATAAAAATTAAAATTTCTAGTAGCACTAGTATATAATATTTCACTTTTATCTTAGTAGGAAAATTTATAATTTTGTGAAGTAATTTTGAAAGAAAATATGCTTAAAAATAAAAGAAAAATGAATATACATCATTTTTTCTGAAATAGCCAGAAATCAACAGTCTTCACATTTTTAAGGTTTAATTTATATATCAATTAGATTTCATCAATTTTTATTCAAGCTATATAACAGAGCCAACAAATACATTCGATTTGTGGAATACATCGTCTTGCACAAAAGCAGACACTTAACAAAAAAATATCTACTTTGATTAGATTACATATATACAGGGGTGGGCAAAATTAGGTTTACAGTTGTTTGTATGGAAAATAATACAATAATTAAAACATAACAGAAAAATAAACCGTTTCACTTACAACTATAAACCTATTTTCACCCCACCCTGTATAAGAAGCAATGTTTATGTAATTAGAGACACTAGTTTTAAAGTCCCTTTTTGTAATTTTAGGTTTTTTTCTCTCTCAAGTAATCCTACCTTTCTTGTTAATTAAAAAAAAATAATAATAAAGCTGTTACCTGAGAAAAATCTTGACTGATACAAAATAGGCCAGTGTAAACTATTTGCTGAATAAAGGATACAAACATTGTTAAGCAATGAAGTAAAAGCCATGGATTATCAAGTCAGAATTGGAAATAATAGAAAAATCTGTAAAATAGTATTAATAATAGATATGGTCCACACAGGCAATGATAAGAGTGACATCAATGAAACACTCCATACCCAATTAAAGACTTATTAGGGCTGGGACTTCAATTTTTATAATTTAATAGGGATTAGTTGTTTTTGATGTATAACTAAAAATTTGACTGACCTCTACATTTATACCTTCCTGAAGTAAAGCAGTTTTAGTTATACCCCACTTCCTTCCTACAGCACCCAAAGACAAAGATACATATGAATATTACCTAGGGTAGCATAAATTATATTGAAAAATATCTTTAAGTTGATCAGTTCAAGTTCAATGTCTAGCTACCAAAATTTAGAATTGTGAAAGATCAAAGAAGAATTCAGTTCAAATAACTTTACCATTTATAGGCTCTCTTCCTTTAACCAGGTAGTATATTGTCTCCCAAGGGCAGAGAGGGACTTACTTTACAAAATTAAACATCCTGGAACTAGTATCATTTTTCCAGGAAGAAGAATTTTATAATTTTTCTAAATAGCAAACTAATTTGCCACTATTTTTACTTGAAATTTCTATAAAGGGTACACATAATGAGTAGGCTACAGAAAAGTATTGATAAGATACATGAATATAAATATTTAAAAAGGCATAAATTATTAGAGGATTTTATGAAAGAGAGAAAAAGTAGATATGTGTGTGTTTTACTGGATGTTATGATTTATATTTATAGTTAAAATAATTGTTTTCAGTATTAAACTAAATATAATTGTCAAGAAGCCTTCTTTTCCATAATACCTTATACCATGAAGGGCTACACTAAAGCGAAGAAAATGAGAATAAAAATGCATCCTGTTTAAATTTCATTAGATTAACTCATTTCTTTGTGACCAAAGATGGTGTTGACTGTTGGCTACTAATAAGAACATATAAAGTCAATAGCATATATGTGCCAAGTTCTTACTATGTAAAAACAAAAGAAGTTTTTAAGTACAACAAATTACAGTTCTTCTAAACATAAGCAGCAAGCTATAGACATGCAAAGGATGGTAACTATTCAGAACACACAAATGAATTAAAAGAATCAAATTATTTCTCAAGCATGTTCAATACTTTTGTGTAGAATGTCACACAATCTTAAAATTGTAATGTGTATGTCAATTATGTTTTAATTAAACATTTTAAGAAATCAGATTCTACAGAATATAAAATGTAAGGAAAAATACAAGGATTGTTGATTAAGTAGATGTTTAAATGAGCTATCAATGTTTATACATAAAAACCTAGGGCTTAAAAAAAAAACTTCTTTACCAGGTAGTCAACACCCAAGCTGCTATAAAATCAATTTCATTTTCAGACTTTCATGAAAGTGAAGCCTGAAAGTTTTATTAAAAAATAAAATGCAGAAGTAATGTGCCACTAGAAAATCAATTTGCTAACACAGAGGTGTAATTCTGATCTTATTTAAGTTTTTTTTTCAGTAAGATATATTCAAAGCAAGATAACTTTTACTAACATTCAAACTTATAGAAATTAAGTTTACCTGACTTGTTAGTAGTTTATACAATTTAAAGTGTAAAAATAAGATATTTCTGACAGTACAACATAGTTCTTAAAGATTTAAGATTACACAGTTGACACGAGCAGAAATAAAAAGAATGAAACCCTACTGGAGAAATAACTTGCTTCCATCTATGTTATTTTACTCGAGCACCACCAATGGCAGGTAAACTGCAGCAACTCCACTAACAAAAACAAATATATGAATCCAAAGCTGTTAAGAGTATGAATTAGATGAAAGAATGAAGTACAGTATATAAAAGAATGGTCATGTTTTCTCTCCCATGAGATTAAATTAACAGAATTAAGAGAAAGAAAACAAAATGAAGTCTGCAAGTATACCAAAATGAGGCCAAACAGATAGAAGACTTATACAGACATACTCTCAGAAATTTCAAGCACTAAAATCACAAAGATAGTAATGGATGGATATGATTTTTTTATTTTGTTTTTAAATTGCCAGACCCAAAAATAAACAAAATATATGCAAGCAAAACTGAAAAAGCAGCATTACTAAAATATATTTCAAAAAATCTGAAGCTCCCTTTTCCTCATGCAATATCAATTAACTTTCTCAAAGGGAAAAGGACTCTAAAATTTATTTCATCTAAGACATTAAATACCAACCTACCATCTTAAAATATTTTTTCAAGCTTGAAACATAGCATAAGAAGATGGTAGCTGGAATAATTTGTATATACTAAAACCTTTGCACACCCTTCCTGATGGAATTTGGTATATGCACATTCAAAATTTTGACCTAACAGCGAAGTGAAAGAACATCAACATTAATAAACACAGTATTAAATGGTTTCAGACTCAAAATCATTAACAAAATAATGGCAGATTTTGGAAAATGTTTTAAATAAAATAGAAAATGTCAATATTTAAATTTCTGAATGTAAGGTGGAATAACTTTTAATCTGGGAACTAATAATAGGCTTGCTCTTTGCATTAAAGACAGTGCTTTAATATAGCAATTATAAATAAAGATATTAGAAATACGGATGACAATCTTCTAGTGAGCAAAAACATAGAATTTTATAAAAAATTTATCAATATTGGAATATTTAAAATTTTTAAAACCTTTCAAGTTACTTATAATTTTATATAATCCTCATTTATAGTTTTAATTTATAGCACAGGATTTGTCTGTGTGAAATAAATATAGCAGACAAAAGCCATTCATGGATTTAACGTAACAGTTTTGACCATTACAAGCGACCTCAGGGGTCCTCACCATACTTTTTGTAGAAGAGCAGAATAACTGTGTGTGTCAGCATAGAGGGGCAGAACCAACTCACAAGTTGACTTTCCAACATCTGTCACTTAGGCCCACTTTTCTTATTCTATACTCTTTAAAAATAGACACTTGATTTAGAAAAGAGAAAAAGCTAACTACTACTTCTAGGTATGGAAGTTAAGAGACTCAGGTGTTGATGGTTCCTTGCTAGAAAACAGCAATTTAACATAAATTAAAGACTGGAACATAGAAATTGACAGTGATTTGGCTCAACAGAGTGAATGACACCATTATTTATTTTCTATTGCAGGGATAAAGTAATATGGATACAGGGACAAAACATGGTACTCCCAGCTTCATGATACAGCCCATGATCTTGGGATAAGAAATTATAAAGCCACCTGTCTGTTGCTGCTTCTCAAACACATCCAGAAAGTAATGATTTAGTGGCTAAAAACTATACCATATTCTCAGTGACATTTTCCTAATTAGTAAGGAAGGTAATCTAACTTGTTAAATTTATAGGTGTTTTTCCTCCATAAGACTCAATAAAGTATTTTTATTTTGAAATTTTTAAATGGGGTTCTATTAACATTTTCACTTTTCCTGAAATGGCTTTGTATAAAAAAGTTGTTCATCATGTACATGAAAAATGTTTAAAAAATACTTCACACAGTTAACTTATAGTGTGAAAAACTGTACAGAAAATACCAGAGAAAATTTAGTTTTTTAAAGCTAGGAGTCTATTGAAAACATATCTGATATTTATCAATATGTTTTGCAAAAATATTCAAGGTTTATAATATTTTATTGAGTCTTACTATGACATATTAGGATGTGAGAAGGTTGGTACAGTGGAAATCCATTTTATTTTGGTAAATATAATTAATTCTATTTTTTTATAGCACTAATTTCAAATTTAAAAGATTTCCGATCTTGCTTTTTCATTGGCCCCTTTTAATATATACCTGTTAATCAAAATTAGTAAAAGCAATTCTGTTAAGACTTTGGAAATGAAAACCATTACAGGGCTATGTGGGGTACCATTTAGCAGTCACTATTCTAAGCCTTCACTGATTTCCACTTTGCAAAACTCTGAAGTTTAAGCTTTTGGTTTTTAAATTCACAGCTTCTAAAACCTAGCAGGCAATTTTATGTTAGAATCCTAATTTAGAAAGATGGGGAAAAAATCTGTGAAAGTTAAAGTAAGATTGGTTCTGCCATTTGATGCTCAACATAAACTCTAAATTTAATATACAAAATAAATTGTCATTTCTACAAAATGTAATTTGTCAGGATAAAATGACAATGTTTTAAAAAAGAACAAAAAATTCAAACTTTCCTTTTACAATGCAGGCAGACAAAACAGAACAAACATGACATTAATGATATACTAGTAAAATACACTAAGTCCAATAAAAGATGAAGAAATTACAAGGAGAAACTAGAATGAAAAATAGGCTACAGGGACTATATGGGTTCATTAACACAAAGAATTTTTGAGTCTGGCCTAAATAATTAATTGCCTTTGACATCATTTTGCTTTCCCTTTTGTTAAAGTACATTTTTCCCAAAGTCAGCAATACCTTGTCTACCTGTCCTGTCTGGGAGATTGAAAGATAAAGGTCTGTAAGAGAGAAGAATGGAAAGAGCTAGAAAGATCACGATGTTCCAAAAAAAAGAGGACTGACTGTAAAAAAGTAGTGACTAAATTCAGAGCCATTTATTCATCTTATAAATAACATGAAATACATAAAAACTAACAAGTCTTCCCACCCCACCCATCTACCTCCACCCCAGGGAGTCCTTTCATTCCTATGCAGATTCCTGGGTGCCTCTCAGACTTTCCCCAAATCCCACCACTTCCCAGCTTAAGCCCTCCTTTCCCAATATCCCAATGACATAGCAAACCATTTTTCTATCAGAACAGGACAGATGAAAATACATTTAGAGCATATCTTTCCTTCTTTGTTTAAAGATCTGGGTGATCTTTGCTCCTACCTGTCTAGGCATTGGGAATTAAACTGGTTCACTTTTGACTGTCATTGAAAATATACTATCATTAACCCAAAATAATAAAATCTTCGATATGTGACAAAGTAAAGGCACTTAGATAGAGCCATATTATGCTTTAAAAGCTGTATCTTAATTAAACCCAGGCTGATTTTAAAAAGATAATGCTATTCTAAATATTACTTAAATTAATTTTAAAATATGATAACTTGCTCTTGTCATTAAACATGATACTCTGGATTTTAATTAAGTCTTTCCTGGTAAGTTTTTGCTTACATAATAAATTTTAACTAAAATTTAATAAGAGGCAGATTAATTAAAGTTTATAGTTTGCTTTCATGTGCTCTTGGATTATTCTGCAGTCATATGTTTGGTAGATATAACCAATTTAAGTAACATGGAAATGGAACCCACATGAAAATTTTTGACATTCCAGCATCTGGAATAAAGCTGGCAGCCTTCCAAACATACTTAAAATATATGAAAATTACTGAAAAATTACTGAGTAAACATTACTTTTCAACACAATTTCTTAAAATATAATCAGGACTAATGGGCCTCACTTTGACTCAAAATCCTATTTTATAACTAAGTATTAGCAGACATCACATGTAGAGAAACTCCTGATAAATATATGTTGTGGTTTATACCCAATCAGATTTAAAACATACTTTCTTGTAGAGGAGAAAAAGAAAAACTAGTCTGGTAGCAGATAACAACTGCCTGTACGTCAAGATGATCAGTGGCAGAAAAATGGCAGTATTCACTAACATTCAAAACTATTTTAAATAGCATTGCTTCTGTAAAAGAATTTTTAAGTTATAGCATTCTTATAACCATTTCCACTGAAAATGTAAATTCTGTATTTTACTGCTCTTTATAGATTAAAAAATTGCTCATTAACAAAATTTTACTAGACAATCAAAAAGCAAATATCCATTATGCAGTTATTATAGGTCCTTTATGACTTTTGTCAATATTATATACATCACACTAAGGAGAAAGAAAAAAAAAGGACACCCCCAATGGAAAGAAGTTAAATACCTGGAAATGTAAAAATTCCAGACAAGAAGTCAATATATTTTTATAGATGATTCCACAGAATTTACAAATTACTGCATCCATTCATTTTAGAGTGATTAATGGATTGTGTCACTGTCTGTCTCTTGGCATTTAAAATCTATATCCATACAGTTTTGTAACACAAAGTGTAACAGATTATATAAATTTCAAATAATCATTTTAAGGCTTTAAAAACTACAGTTTACAGTTTATAGTAAGTCTTTTATTATACCTTATAATATACTGCAAACTAACCACATTAAATAATATTATGAGTTGTTTCCTTTTCCTAGCCTAATCTAGTTTATGTTTTTCCCTTTCAAAAACCAGTATTTTAAAAATTGGTTATAGAACACACAGAACATGTACAGTTACTTAAAACAGTCATAATTTTAAGCTCTTCACTATTACAAGCCTCTTTTTTGGAAAACCAATAGGGATGGGAAATTGAGGTAAGAAATGCAGGATCATTTTAATTTTAAATAAAACATTGGAAAATGTTTTTATACAAAGGTCAACTACTTCTAACCCTCAGATTTCAGACTTATCCATCATCCTGTGTTTTATTCAATTCCAGTGAGCATAGTATTGTATTAACCTGATCCTTGCAGGGGTGTCCAACCTTTTGGTGTCTCTGGGCCACACTGGAAGAAGACTTGTCTTGGGCCACACATTAAATACACAAACACTAACAAAAACTAAGCAAAAAAAAAGTTTTAAGTAAATTTACAATTTTGTGTTGGCCACATTCATAGCCATCCTGGGCTGCATGTGGTCCACTGGGCACAGGTTGGACAACCCCTCAAGTATCAACAGATAATAATTCTTCAGAACTCACCTGCTATAAATTAATGCTAGCATATTTTTAATACCTTGCTGTTTTTACAATATTTACTTTATATCAACCAAACACATGAATTTGTACTAATAATTATAAATAAAATATATTTTCCTAAATCTAAGTTATGACTATAAATACCAAAAGTAAGAGTATCCTCAAATGAGCATAACACTGAATGAGATAAAGGCTGTTACCTCTCTAAACTGAAACAACCAAAATAGTGTGAACTTGAGTGGCTCTGCTACAACCCCTGTTACTAATATTCAGCCTAGTACATGAGAGAAGAGTCACTAAAATTCTAAAGTAGGGTTTTGTAAAATGCTAACATGCTGGTTGGACCTCATTCTAACAGCACAAAGGTTTCTCTTATAAAATGCAACAAAAGCCATGAATACATGCATCAATGAACGTATAAGTTAGCAAACTGGTCAGTGACCTTTGAGAAGATTAAGATACTGAATTTTCTTTTTCAATATGTACTCAGGCTTCCTAATCTCTTATTATAATGTATTACTTCCTCATGAGAATTCCATTGCCTTCTCTTTCCTCTTCCAGAAATGATTTTGTGATGCTAAATTTATATATCTTTTAAAATATAAGTTCTAAGATTTCCTTGATAATTACTGCCTACTGTTTTATAATGCAAATACTAATTCCATTTTCAAATAAATACTTTCTTTTTTAAGCAATAAGAATTTGGAATTGTGCTAATTACCCAAGGCAGTTGACTGTGGCTAAAAGTAGGATGCACAAAACTATTTGGTGGACAGCTGTCCCAGAACATTTCGCTACTAAAATTTGTATACTCTCTTTTTAAAACTGAGTAAGCATACCAGCTGTACCTAAAGGGTGATACTGAAGGACAAACACTGAAAGCTGCAAATCATACATAGTTTATTACCATGCTTACTGCCTTCATTAACTAGAGCAGTTTCCATTCTTACCTCAGATTTCTCCAGCTTATTTTGTGCATCAATTTGTGTAACAATCTCGTTCATGTTGGTCTCCAATACCATTCCCCCCATCACCATTTCTGCAAGAATATTGTGAACCTAAAGAAAAAATAATACACACCCATAAAGAAAACTCACTACAAAACATTTTGTAATTCCAGTAGTTTTTGGTTTAAATACTTCTGTGTCTACTTTATAAGTATGAGCTGTAAAATAAAATAATTTGGAGTAAAGGCTCATAAATCCACTTCTGTCACTACTGTGAAGTCTTAGGCATTTATATAACCTCTTTAATTCTTAATTTAATGAGCTGTAAAGCAGAGATAATAATAGTACCTCCTCCATAGATTGTTGAAAAGTTTAAATGAGATAATTCATGGAAACTGCCCCAAAGTAAATGATCACTAAACATTAGCTACCATTTTTATCATATTAACTTTAATGCTAAAAAAGTGATCCACAAGGGCCTTTGACATATTCTTAGCCAATAATTATTAAGTTGTTTTATGCTCAAGGTATTTACTAAAGCTATGTGGCATTATTACATGCTCTAGATTGAAAAATAAAATAAAATTTTCTTTTTATTGTAGGTACTTTTTAATATGCTTTTACTCCACAGTCCTCTCTATATGAAACACTGAAATTTTTTATCAAATACATCTTATGACTAAAAATAGTATCTTCCATTGGGAAGAACAAATTGAACCCAGGTGTTTTTCATAAGGTATTAGATCAAAAATCACCAACTCAAAGCTGAATTAAGTTTCACTGAATAATTATATTCTGCATAATTTTTACAAAATAATGAGGCGTTAAGAATGGAGACTCTGAAATTAGATAGATACAAATACTGACTCTACCACTTACTAGTCATATGCCCTTCTGCAGTTACGAGACCTCTCTGTTACCTTACCTGTGAATCACAGATAGAAATAGGATAGGCATTTCATAAGAGTATCATAATAATAATTTATATAAAGTGCTTAGCAGAGTATGTACAGGTATTACAGAGTGATTCCATTTTTTTTTTTAAACAAACCTTTTTTTTATTAGTCCTAACTAGTGCAGCTCAGTAGGTTAAGTGTAGTCCTGCAAACCAAAAGATTGCAGGTTCAATTCCTGATCAGGACATATGCCAGGTCCCCAGTTGGGGCATGTGAGAGGCAACTGATTGACTTGTTTCTCTCGCACATCAATGTTTCTCTCTCTCTCATTCTCCCTCCCTTTCCGTCTTTCTATAAATAAATAAAAAATATATATAAAGAAAAAACAAAAATAAAACTTTCTTCGGTTAAATATGTATTACTTGATTTTTATTCCTTTAATACAGTTCATGCAAATGTATTCATGATTTAAAAAAATATCCTGTAATTATTTACTAATTTTTCATTATGGCAAGATGGGTACCTCATGTATAAATTTTGAATACAGAATTACAGAAATTACTTTTCCTAGCAAACAACACAAAACCAGAAGCCACAATTGTTCTTAAAAACCAGTGCTAAAAATCATCAGTTATATTACTACTATCCTTTCTGTTATTAGATACCATTTATTAAACTATATTTTGATACTGTACTTATGATATCTGATTTATTTCTCATATTTAACCTTTGTTAAAGCTGAGGGAATAAACCAGCTTACTCAAGACACATAAACTAATATGTGGCAAGTTAACAATTCAAATCTAAATCTGAGTGATCCAAATCTAATCCCTTGCTTTCTTCTGTTAACAATAAATGAAATGAACAGTTAATTAATTTTTAGTCATAATCTATGAACATTCAATTAAAGGTCAAGAAGGTGATTAGGTGATGAAATAAAATTATCTTATAATAGCTAATAGGTACTACATGCAGGAAAAGTGTTCAGATAGAAAGGCCTCAGTCAACCAACAGAGATTTATTAAAACTTCTGCTTTAGCAGTAACACTCCCCTCCTTTTTAGAACAAATTCTCATGAAAGGCACAATCTGTAAAATTGGTAAACATTGCATCAACTCCCCCCCACCGCACCCCCACTTTGATCAGGCCTTCCTGTGGGTTCATCCTTATATACACTGTACTACTGCCTTTCCAGGAGCATCTCAGACCACAAGCACTGGAGTAGTGGAAACCATAAATTTCAGTATTATAGAAACATCTTCCAGTTTAGAGGTATCAAAATATGAGCAGCCAGCAAATATGGGCCATATCCAAGAAATTCTAAGGATGTATGTTAATTTACTAGATAAGAAATAGGATGTACATTTTCCTTCCAAGTAAAAATAATTCCTCTGAAAGCAAATCCAGAAATCCAAAAGAGAGACAGAAAATATGTATGAGGAGTCTGTGAGCTAAATCCTTGAAAATACATAATCTCATTTATTATAAAGATAATATACACCTAAAAACTATATTCTTGGTGAGGAAGTACTATACATTATGTAGAAATTCAAGGAGAGAAACAGTATGGGAATAAGAATTATTAATTGGAAGGTTACCCCAATATTATCAAGCTTATGGTGTCCAAAGCAAGGTATGTCACATGAGAAGGGGACATTCATAAGCTGAACATAGCATGTCCAGTGACAAAAATTCATGTTCCAAGAATTGGGAAGAATTTGTGACAGACAATATGAGAAAGAGGATGACAAAAGTTCTTCTTTTAACATAACCCTAACTCATATGGTTAACATATTCCATTATTATGTTTTATAAATTTTATTTAAAACAGATTTTTATTGAAATAACAATGCCAATATACTTGTAATACAACTCATCTACTAAATTCTTTGATGTTCACCTAAAATAGCAGTTCAATGAGTTTTTACCTTTTTAAATTTTTTATAGATATTTAAGTGTTTTAAAAAGTAGGAAATGCCACATTAACAATGCACGTTTGCATTAAAAGAAAAAATCACATAGCTACTTCCGGACAGAAGCCATAACTTTTTAAAAATTCACAATATAGGCAAATAATTAAAAGTTCTAGCCATACAGAAACTTATGTACAAGCAGTAAGTGTTCACTGCTTTCTGCTTCTGTTGTTAGGTCCTTCTATCCAAAGATAATTACAGCTTATTGTATTTTATGTACCCTTACAGAAAAATTGTTATGCACATACTTATTGTGTGTACATAGTGTATATCTAATTTATACAATGAAGTCACACTATATACATATTACACAATTCTGCAGGAAAATTAAAAAATGTATTAAAAATTTGAGGCATCAGAGAATGAGGATGTGAATTTAAAAAATAATAAAAATTACTGGTGTCAGTTAAATGTACAAGGATAATCAATGACACTGTTAGTTAAAACCAAAGACAGAAAAATACAAAACTACAAAATGATGAACCCACACTATTATCACACATCTACACATCTAAAAATGAGAAAAATGTATAGATCACTTAGAAATATAGACAGATTATTAAATGAAAAACTGAGCAAGATAGAACAATACACAAAGACAAAATGGGGAAACAAAGAAATATACCCCAAATGAAAGAACAAGAGAAATCCCACAAAAAGAATGAAATGAAATGGAAGCAACCAAAATAACAGATGCAGAGTTTAAAACAATAGAAGGATGCTCAAGGACCTTAGGGGAAGAATGGATGATTTCAGTGAGAACTTAAACAGATAGTAAGCAGTAAAAAGGACATAGAAAACATTTAAAAAAAGAGAGACACGGAAATGAAGAATATAATACCTAAAGTGAAGAATATACTAGAAGAAATCAACAGCTAGTTAAATGAAGCAGAGGATGGAATCAGTGATTTAGAGGGCAAAATAACAGTAAGCACAAGCATTAAAAAGAAAAGAGAATTTAAAAAAATGAGGGAAATCTAAGGGAACTTTGGGACAACATAAAACATAACAACATGTGCATGATAGTGAGACCCAAAGGAGAAGAGTGTGAGCATGGGATAGAAAGCCTGTTTGAAAACAATAATGGCTGAAAATTTCCTTAACCTGGTGAAGGAGGAAAAAGCCACACAAGTTCAGGAAGAACAGAAAGTCTCAATCAAGATGAACCCAAAAAGGCTCACACCAAGACACATAGTAATTAAAATGCCAAAGATTAAAGACAAAGAGAGACTCTTATAAGCAATAAGAGAAAAGCACCGAGTCACCTACAAATGAGCTCCCATAAGACTGTCAGCTGATTTCTCCAAAGAAACGCTTCTGGCCAGGAGGGTGTGGCATGAAATGTTCAAAGTGACCAAAAGCCAAAACCTACAACCAAGACTACTTTATCCAGCAAGGCTATCATTTAAAATTGAAAGCAAAATAAAGAGGTTACCAGACAAAAAACAAAAACAAACAAACAAAAAACCCAGAAATCCACAAAAAGAAAAAAACAAAAAAACAAAAAAAGCCCCTGAAGGATGTCATTACCACCAAACCAGTATTGCAAGAAATGTTACAGAGCCTGCTTTAAGAAGAAGAAAAGAAATAGCGAGAGAATATAATATATAAAGGATAAAGTGGCAATAAGTAAGTAGCTATCAATAATAACCTTAAATGTAAATGGATTAAATGCTCCAATCAAAAAGATAAAGAGTAGCTGAATGGATAAAAAAACATGACCCATATATATTCTGTCTACAAGGGACCCACCTCTGAACAAAAAACAGATACAAAATGAAAGTGAAGGGATGGAGAAATAGTCCATGCAAATTGAAACAAACAAACAAAAGCTGGGGTAGATATACTTATATTTCACAAAATAGACTTCAAAACAATGGCTATAACAAGATCAATCTAACAAGAAGATATAACTCTTGTAAACATATATGCACCCCACATAGCAGCACTCAAATATATGAAGAAAATCTTACTGGACATTAAGGGAGAGAATGACAGCAATACAGTCACAGTAGGGGATTTTAACATCTCGCTGACATTAAAGGATAAGTCTTCCAGGAAAAAAAACATCAACAAGTCAAAAGGGACCTTAAATGACACATAGGATCAAGGGTTTTAATTGATATTTACAGAATATTTCATCACAAAGCAGCAAAAATATACATTCTACTCAAGTTCACATGGAACATTCTCAAAGACAGTCCACATGTTAGGACACAAAATACATCTTAACAAATTCAAA